TAACTGTATTTTTTATTTAAAAATATTTGTAAATGTATTATTAATAACATATGCCGAAAGTCTTTGGTCGATGGCCCTTTGAGTACCCAATAAGTATTATAACTATAAACGAATGCAATAAGTATTTCGGTTGGGCATCAGACTTATTTTTTGATAGTATAATTTCTGGGTTGAATAAAAAACGGTTTTTCTTAGCGGTTTAGAATAAGGGGTGGGCAAAATATTCGATTAATTTTTTTAAATCGATTATTTTAGATTAATCGATAATTTTCAATTAATTATTTTAGATTAATCGATTATTTTATATTAATCGATTATTTTCAGATAATTTTTATATTCGATTTCGATTAATTAAAATAATCTAATGATCATTTAATTGAATAATCGACTTTAAAGGAAATACAAAAATAAAAAGTGGTTAATAGCTTATTCGTTCGTGGTAACAATTCTGAATTGATTCAGAACTACTAATTCATACTTTGAGCGCATGTCTGATTCATTATCAATTCTGAATTGTTACCGCCAAAGCAACTTCCATTATATTTCGGTATTTCAAGTAGGGGTGGGCAAAATAATCGATGTTTTTTTTTTTAAATCGATCATAGATTATTTCGATTATTTTAAATAATCGATTATTTACCTTTATAATTGGAAAAGTTTCAAATGTTTAAAAGGTTGACTGCCGGTTGTAACTAAAGGGTCATTGCAGGGTGCCAACTACATACTGAGCGTTGCAAATCATAATGGAAACGACTCGCACCGGTGCGTGGTTGGCACTACGCATTTCTCCTACACCTCGCACCCGTGAGTGGTCGACATTCAACCTGTTAAGGATGGCTTTCCCTAAAATGGTTATGATAGCAATTTAAAAATTATGAAATTTCTTTAATTATATTTACAGCTAACCGTGAATAATTTTTAAGTTAATCGATATGTCAAGTTTTACATTTTTGGATGTTCTAGAAAAATCACCTCTAGAATTTGTTTGAAAAACACCGTAGGTAAAAGTCCAAGAATTTCAGCTTAAACTCTAGATCCCGAATCTATTGATGTTAAAGATAACTACTTCTGGTTGGAATATCACATGGTTCGGCAAGAAATCTGGCAAGGATGTAGCGTGTTTATTGGTGTCAAAATAAATAAAATTTTAACAATATTGAAGTTTCCGTTTGACAGGAGAGTTTCTGGACAAGTTGTATATTTAGAAATATTTAGATATAAAGGATGCTGAAAACTGTTTTATATTTTGAAAACATTAATTGTATGGATAATAAAAAAATATTGAGCAAACTTTGTAAAATTACAAAGAAACAAAAAATATACATATAAATACGAATTATAAATACCTATTTTATCAATTTTTTTCGAATATAAAACTCCTGTAGCAAATTGAAATAAACGTCACGTTTATTCAAGTTTAAAACATCCAAATATTTGGTATAAATTTCTAAAACAATAATCCATCCAAAATGCTTTAAGAAAGTAATGACATTACCAGGGAAGTGGAATGGTTTAAACACCATGGATATCTAAAAGAAACTATTGATATTTTTTGATTTGTTTATAATACTTTTCATGTTTCAATGAAATAATTTGACTCTTTGTAATCTTGAGATCCACAGTTCGACGAATTCAGTTGTATTATTTATATAAGTATAAAATGTCTTAATTAAACTACACTTCAAGGCAAACCTTCCATTACCCTATGGCCGTGCGACTAACAATAAGAAATTTATTTATAAAATATAAACATTCTTTCTACAAAACCATAAATATTTGTTAATTATGTTTTTTTATTGCTTTTAAGTCAAAAAACAAAAGACGCTAAAATTGCTTTAAAACATATTTCGGCGGTGACAGAAAATTGTGTAAATTGATTCTAAAAAAACAATTTGAGAAAAATTATAGTAAAATTTAAACTTCTCTCAGAATATCATTATCACTATTTTAATTGATAAATAATTTGTAACAAATCATTGTTACTATCAAGTAAAAACTTATTTTCAATAAAAAAAGTGAATTTTGTAAGAATCAATCTACAAATTTAATATTTATATAGTAAAACTATAATAAACATTCCACCTTTTCCTACATTATGCAAAACCTTTCTTATTTTATAGGTACAAGCAATTAAATATTAAATATTCTTAAACTTGACAACCGATAATGAATAAAAATTATAGATATAGATACACTGGTTGCGCTCCACATTGTTCTAAATTATTAAACCTGCAGAGCCAAAACCACAAAAAAAGTTTACTTTTTTAATGTAATGTGAAAATTATCATTATTTTGTGAATTGTTTAAAAAATATATTTAACTAATATTTAGGGTTCATAATTTGCTCGTTAAATAATAGTTTAAATAGTTTTTATTTTGATAAATAAAATTCACATTTGTACTATTGTTTATATACTATTATATAAATATAAAGATTTTGCATAATTAAAATGGAAACCTGATTAATTCATACGTTCAATAAATTGACTACAAATAATACTGATATTTTATTACGCGCGGTATGAACTAAGTAGACAAAAATTAAAATTACTTAAAATTAAATAACGAAAATATAATTCTAACTTTATATAAATATCTCATACAAAAACCGTTATAACAAATAATTTGTTTATCGAGTACCTTTCATATCAAAGACTAGTTCTAGATTTGTTAATGATTATCGTGTTCATCACGTTTTTGCTCTCTCCATACCCAATGCAGCGCCCTGTTCAGTTGGTAAACCATCCAAGGGAATAACCCCACCCCATTTACCACTGTGCTACACATGAATTTTATATAATCGGTAAGCTTTATTAAGGAAAATAATTATTTTTTTTGTAGTAAAGTGAAACCCCACTATTTTTTTATCGGTATCACTTAATATCTTTGTTGTTCAAAAAAAATATTTATAAAAAACGAGAAGTCATAATTATTTTTTAAACATCCGAGAGGTACCTACAATAAGCAGTTATAAATTCAAAATGGTAATATTAAACTTTTCGGGTGGTAAAAATAATTTTGGCAGGAAATCGACTAGGAATATAAAAAAAATTGTTCGGTTATTTAATCCTGCACAAGCAGTAGATTAAAAAATAAATGCCCAGAGCATTTATAAGTTGAGCGGTAAAATGAGAGAATGAGCAGTTATATAAACAGTTCGGTACTTTTCAGTTTCAAACAGGCTTACGCAAGGTTAGGCTACAGTACCTAAGGCTCAAGAAGAGATCCGGTTAGTCAGAGTTTCGAGTTAATTTTTTTCTGCTATTTCTTACTGTGCTGTGACTGTATTTGTGGAATCTTAACATGTATGGGGATTCCATCAATAAATAAATAGCAGAATGTTATTTCAGCTGACTTGAGACAAAACTTTCGAAATTACATTAAAGACATCCGGCAACGTTGCATTTCGAACGATTCTCCGCCAACCGAAATTATTCTATTCTATGACATCTAGGAATTATTTCAGGTACTGTTTGAACCGTCGATCAAGACGTTAAGTGATTTTTTCTACGCCTATGTCAGTAAACGTTAAAAATCACACTATCAACATTCATTGTTTGAGAATGTTTTAAGTGGGCATAGAAAAAGTATAGTACGTTACACGAGTTGTAAGTCCATTACGCACTCGTGAAACTTTTTCACTTTGTGCGTAATGGGTTACTTACAACTCTTTTTACGTAATATACCATTTTGCGTAACTTTTTTATTTTAGTAATTCTGGAATGAAAAAAAAAGTTTGTTTAAATATGGCGATTATTGAAACTATGCAGGCGTTTTAAAACACCGTCACCAGTCACCTGACGTTATTTGTAAGGTGGTTGTATTAGTTGTTTTAAAATTTATTTTTTATTTAAATATGGTAAAAAATTAAAGAAAATTTGGCAGTCGGCGATATTTGCTGATTTTAGCCATCCAAAACTACATGAATCCTTTGAAAAGAGGAAAATTAAATTTTCGAGGTGAAAAAAACTTTTTTTTTTCGATACCCACATGGATATTCTACGCACATACTACAAAACGAAAAAGTATGCCATTGCATTCAACTGAACGAATATATTTCATATATATTTTACATAGTAAGAACTCAAAAAAAAAAAAAGAAATCCACCAATCACAGTTCATATTTTGGTCAACCACAAAATTGCTTGCAAATAAATGCAAGTGCGTAAGACACCTACGTCACCGATCCGATCCTACGCCATCGATCCAAAAGAAAAATCTACTAATACGTTAAATGTGATTAATGTCACAGGCACTTAAAATCGTCATCTTTGACAATAAATCCAGTCGTTTTTTCTGTCAATAATAATTTCACGACACACTTAGAAGTTGGCAATTTAATTAAGTAAAATATAATCAAACTATATAATATATTAAAACTTGATTTGCAGATGTATAATGACTAGCAGTTGTTTTCAAAAAAGGATATTATATCGTCCAAGGTGGATGACCTCCATTAATATATAACACGTACATAAATCCGTCTTTACATTTTCCTTTAATGGAATAGTAATAAGGTAAAAAGAAGTGTAATCTAAATCTAAAACAAATGATAATTATATTTCCTTCTTTAAAGAATATTTGAAACCAAATTGCATAGATTCTCAATAATTTTTTTTTAGCCACAAAAAACCCTCTTACCATCAGCATACTAATTATGTTTGATACCCAATACTAAAGAACTTCGACTGACGTAGCCCTTTGGATTGAGTCATATGTTGTATTGTCAAATGATCCTGCTAGAATGTGAGAGTTCCCCGATTGGTAAGTAGGTTGTAAACAATCTAATGATATGTCACATATCTTTTAATCAGACTTTCATATAGAAACAAAAAGTGTCGTTAACAGGTTTGAAGGACTTTAATTCATAATACGACATCTGTTATTATTGTGAATAAAAACTTTAAATGGATCATTCTCTAGTTATGTCTGTATCTGTAATGTGTGGAGGGTGGGTTGCCCCAAGGCACTTAGGACTTACTAAGCCCATTGAGCATCCTCCTAAATTGATAGCCTCGTTTTCGCTCGTCAGTCAGCCTACAGATCATTCTCTAGTTAATAATAAATCAAATCTAAAATACGGTCGCCAGACTGGAATTTATTTATGATTTGATAATGAAATTTATGTAATTTAGTAACAAAAACTCTTTAAAAATAGTAGCACAGTAAACAAACGAAACTAATGTGCGCTTTAAAGCTGCCAATTTCTTAATAGGCCTTTTCATCATGTGATGGGCGTCATGTTGAAATACCGCCAAAACAAAAGTTTCGTACTGTTTTGATCAACAATGGCTGGAAAAGCAATTCTATCTCTACATGCAAATCAATCATTAGAAAAAATCGTTGATGGTGATTTTCATTTTTATAACTCTGTGGAAGCACATAGTTGTGAGCAATTGAAAAGGTGCTTGAAGTGTCGTGGACGTCCGGAACAAGGAAAAAAGTGTGCCAATTGAGAGGTTAAGTTTCAATACTTGTTTACTGTGTAAAAAATTTATGAAAACAAATAATAATTATAACTCAATTCTAATTAATTATGCCAACCAACTATTAGTAATTGCAAAAACACTTTAACATGAAAGTTAATCACGGGTATAATTAATAAGATAAATTATTTAATATTTTAAGGGTCTACATAACATTTTTAATAATATTACTGTGTATACCGAAGTAGTATTTTAAAAAAAAATATTGTGTAATACCAGATAAGGATTTTCTTGTGTTGGACCATTTTCTCCATGAAAATGTAGTGAACAAATATAAGTATCTTAATAACATCATCAATCGATCGAAAACCTTTGTCACTTCGACCACATTTTTTCACCCATTATGAACATGTTTTAATATGTATTTTGCCTAATGATTTAATAGTTTTTTTATGATATTGCAGAAATTTATAAAATAATAATGTATTACCTTTGAATGATTTTTACATACACTTAATTGATTGCAAACATTTATTTTTCAATTAAGACACTTATTAGAGAGATATTGCAAATTTCTATAACGTCAGTCACTAATAGTGACAAAGTAATTAGAGACAAATAAATTCCATGCTAAAGTAAGACTTATTGCAAACCTGAAATTTTGACATTAGAGTCCTTGTCCTTATACATATTTCTAACCTCATTTTAAAAAATTTAAATTACATTTCATCTTTTTTGTTGTTTATAATAGTACATAATATGGAAGAGGCATTAGAAATTACCATTTTAGAAGGTTTAGATGACGATGATATTAAATATTTAATATTAAAAAACTTCGAACTGATACGAATGTTGGCGAGCGCACCCGAAAACTATAAAGTCGCCACTAACCGTGGTCCTAAACATCCACAATTAAGGACAGGCACAGTCTTTATTAAAGTCAGTTCTAGAATGTAAGTGATCTGCGCAAGCTCAATGTCAAAATAAGAGCGGCACCAATAGTGACTGACCTTAAGTGAACTTGCAATAACTCTCTATTACTTTACTTTTTTTCCTTTTTTTAAATGAATATATTTAAATTAATATTTATCGATTAGATTTTTTTTCACATGGACATTTTAACATGCTTGTTTACAAAAAACAATACGAAAAAGATTGCTGATACTGACGCATGCGCACAAAAAAAAAGTGATGCAAAGGCCTATTAGTTAATTCATGATGAAATTGACAAATATATGTATTGCCAAACTTCACGAGAATAATATCATACATTTTTTCACCATAATTTTTCATCAAATTTTACTTTGAAGTTCAGAAATACCAACCTATCAAACAACCAACCTATATACTAAATATATATTACTCACATATATGACCCAAAATTTAAATGTAAAACCATTTTCACCATGGAGAAATCACGGGAGAAATTCAGGAATTTATTCGTCAATTATTTCATGAATATGTTCATAAAATTGACAGCTGTAAAGCATGCTTATGGAAAACGACTTACTTTTTCTGTTCGTAAAACATAATGGCAGCAGAATTCGTTGTCAGCACATGTAAAAATACAGCCTTGACTTTTCTTCTCTCAGGCGTTACGAGGTGATTGAGTAGCGAGTCTAGCAATAAAGAAGCGATACCATTTCGACGGTATTCCTTGAGAACTCCTAATGAAAGTATGTAAGCTACGTCACAGTCAGAGAGCGATTTAGCCAAAATTCCCTTATCCTCTTCATTTAAGTTGGCATATGGTTTGATTTTAGCCACAATCAAACCAATAATTTGTTGCTTGTACACAGCAGCCAACGAGTAAAATTTTCTTTGTGAAATAGAATACAGTTTTAAATAATCGTTTAATTACTTAAATATGAAAATAAGGCTAGTGCTATATTAGGCAGAAGTCGATCTTCAGCAGCAGAACGTCTGCTGCAGACATTTTATTTTCCTGTAATTTCTTACAAGCGATTTGTAAACTTAATACATTGAGAAAGATCCGTTGGAACATCTGGCATTTGAATTTACCACGCAAAGATTGATTTGCTCCTCATTTTCAACGACTGAACTTCTGCCTAATGCAGCGCTAGCCTAAAAAAACAAATATCGATTAAGACACAATACCTACATAAGTAATCATATAAACATTAAAGACATTGGTAACTTAATATATATAACAAATAACCGCTATAGGTTCTATTTAGTTACTAATATTTCTAGAGACTTTTAATAAATTAAAATAAAATACAGGATGTTATTATTTAAATACATCACCAAGATTACATATACGCAGTGAATGGAAGAACGGAGCTCAGTTCATTCACATTTTTCGAGGTGATCTCTTTGATTTTAAAACATAGTCGATAGTGTACATTTTGAGATGTGGCCAAATATAAGTGCCATAGAAACAGAAATATTTTATTCTCAGTAATACATACATAAACATGTTTACATAGTCGTCAGTACACATAAATGGTAAAATTCACCACATTTTACATACTTTAACATACAGCATACTCGTATAAAATTTAAAATAAAATAGAATTTTAAAAGATCATGGTTGGCATAAATAATATATAAAAAATACAATATTAAAAATATTAGGTGACATGTTTCACTCTTACAAAATAATGGTTAGTGTTATATAGACACATGTCCAGTAATATCTTTTTAATTTGATGTTTAAACTTTTTTCCTGGTAGATTAAGGATGTGGGGCGGAAGTGCATTATAGAATGAAATGCCCATTGTTCGGGACTTGTTTATTCTAGTTCTCGTTTTTATTAGCTGATTTTTCCCTCTGGTATCGTATGTATGATTGAGTGACATGTGAAGTTTCCCAAATTATTTTTTATGGCTAGCAAGTTTTCAAATACTATTTGCGAAAACAGGGTCATTATGCTAAGTTGCTAAAATAGTTGTCGGCATGATTCATAATAATTTACCCACAGAATAGAGTGAACTGCTGATTTTTGCAAGATAAAAAGTCTTTGTAGTGAAGTGAAGCTAGCATTTCCCCAAGTTAGAATCCCATATGTTAAATTGGAATGGAATAAGCCATAATAAGTAGTTATTGTTGCTTCTGTATTAACTATATTTGATATTCTATATAGAGCAAACGCGAATTTTGCCAACTTGTTGCATAAGTTATTTATTTGATAGTTCCATGTAAGTTGTGTGTCAAAATGTATACCGAGAAATTTAGTGTTCATTGTTTCACTAGTAGTTTGGTTCAACCTGAAGACACATGTTTTAGTTTTATTGTGATTTAAAAATAATTCGTTGCTATCAAACTATTGTTTAGCTTCAGTCATAATCTTAGAGTTTTTGATAACTATGTCAGATGTGTTATTGCAGTGATATGAGAAATTATCATCTGCATACATGGTAGTTAGTAATTCGCCATTATTTGAACACATATATGATGGAAGATCATTGGTATATATTAAAAATAATAGAGGGCCTAGTACGGATCCTTGTGGAACACCTCTTTTCATTAATAAAGGTTTACTAAGTTTATTTCTGTAATATACGCTTTGTTGTCTGTTTTGCAAATAAGAAGCAATCGTCTTATTTGCAATGCCTCTAATGCCATATATTTATCTAGTTTGTTAATTAACAATGTGTGACTTACACAGTCAAATGCTTTAGACTGATCAGTGAATAAAGCTACGCATTATGATTTATTTTCTAAAGACTCCTGAATGTTATTCATTAAAGCCAGCATGACATCTGTAGTTGTTCTCCCATGTCTGAAAGCATATTGTTTCGCAGAAAACAGGTTGTTGTTTTCAAAGAAATGCACAATTTGTTTTACTATAACACTTTCAAGTATCTTAGAAAAACATGGTAAAATATGTATTTGGCGAAAATTTTCAGGCACTGAGTCATCTCCTTTTTTGTGGCATGGTAGAACTTTGGACGTTTTAAAAATATCTGGAAAGGAACCTTCAGCTAAACAGCAGTTTATCAATTCAGTAATAGGAACAACAATATTTTGGGCGCAGTTTTTTAATAAATAGGTATTAATTTTATATATATCTTGAGTTCTTTTTGATTTATTGTTTTGTATTATATCTATGGTGTCAGATTCAGTAAAAGGAGCTAAGAAAAGTGATTGATTTTTTCGGTTATAACAAGTCAATTTTATTTTTATTGTTATTGAGGATGCCTTCTACTGTATCAGATGAATGATTTACAAAATATTCTACTTTATTTTTATTATTACGTCCTGTTTCATTATTTATTTGCCATACAGTTTTAGATTTATTGTCTGAATTATTAATTTGTTGAAGTAAGTTATTTTGTTTTGCATTTTTTAGCAATACATTGTATTTAGTTTTCTCTTGTTTATATAATTTTTTATTGTAGTCGGTTGGTTTGTTTTTAATGACGTCCTGTACAAATCGCATGAATGTACAGGCTCGTGAAATTATACTGAAATTTAGACAGCAGGAAGTATATGGAAATAAACCTCTTATTGAATCTCATACAGTACAAAAACGAGTAGTTGCATTGACGGGTAGGGTAAATACAATAATTAAAAATCATTTGTTTCAGGTCTCAGTATTAAAGAAAGTATCCAGTAAGGAAAATATAGGAATTATCATTTTTTTCGACCTAGTTTTTTCTACGGGTGTTTACTTTTTTGGGTTTTTTAATCCGTTCTAACCATTTTTGCGATGATGTATATCTGCGTGTATCTGTATCCATAATAACTCAAAACCGGATGAAGAAAAAACACCTAATTTTTAAAATTTAGCTTGATTTTAAGAAATATTTTTGTTCTTTATGATTACAGAAAAACATTTTTTGAATAAGAGTTGTTCGTAATGTCATTCTTTAATACTTTTGCCTATATATGATTTCTCTAAAATTGACCACTATATGGAGAAAATGCGCTAGTTCAGTGATGATGTAATTATGGTTCCACTGACAATTAAAGTGACAGCAGATTTTTTGAGTGCGTTTTGTTTACCTAAATTATATCGTTTTTTTCACTTTTATCACATACTTTGATTTTCTTTTACTACACGGAGAATGGTCGCACTGCGCAACTTTCTGAGTGCCTTTTAAAAGGAGATAGAAAACTCCGCCATTTTGAACCCTTATTACGTGTTGCCTACATCTTGGCGCAATATTTTTAATAGGTGCGTTTTAATCATCCGCTTCTGCTTCGGAATTGTCAGTTTTCTTGTTTTAATCTGACTGGTTAAAACGACTAAACCGACAATTCCGGAAGCAGAAGCGGATGATTAAAACGCACCTGATATTTTGCTTGCTGCTGTCAGTATCAGTGAATATTAGGTGCGTTTTAATCATCCACTTCTGCTTCGGAATTGTCGGTTTTCTTGTTTTAATCTGACAGGTTAAAACGACTAAAACGACAATTCCGGAAGCAGAAGCGGATGATTAAAAAGCACCTATTATTTTTGAAGTCACAGTTTATTGCTAAAGAATCAGTTAGCTCACTCGGGCCAGTTGAAAGTTCCAAAATAACATCCACTCCATGGATATAAATTCAGGATACGCAGAAGACTGCTGTTTTATTATAGGCGGTTGTCATATATTGTATTATTCGAGTTGCACAGTGTATAAACTGAAACATTGAAATCCAAAGTGCCGACGCAGAGTGAGCGATCTGATTCTTTAGCTGTAAACTGTGTCACAGGGTTCAAAATGGCCGCACCCTATGTTGGGCGTGTCGGACCTCTCTCTTGCCTCGTATAGTAATCAAAGTATGTGACTTTTATAAATATATTCCTAAAGTAAGTAGATAGCATGTATCACATATACAATCATTTAGTTACCAATTACATACCTTTAAACTATTTTGTATGACCTGTAAACAATATTTTGAAATAAAATAAAAACAGTAAAAACGTATATGTCAAATTTATTGATGTTTTTGTTAAAAGTTTCGTTAGAATTAAATGTCAGTGGAACCAAAATGACATCACACTGAACTAGCGCATTAAGGAAAAATGTAAAATTTGAATTTTATGAGTATTTTCACTGACATGAAAATATGGAAAAATGTTTTGAATAAATGAACCTTATTCAATACCTTTGATAATTTTACAGGAGAGTCATTACTTTGATGCATCAGATATTCTTTCTACTACTTGATATAATAATTATTGGTATAATTTATTTAATAATACTTCCTTTTTAGGTCATATTTACCTGTTAATCAGAATTGCCAACGAAAATTTACACCAAATAAAAATTTTACTAATTATGTCTATCAATTCAACTTCAATGGGGAGTACACCCACAATAAATATAATATAAGATTATAAATTGTGTGTGTATACATTTTACTATTTAAATATTTTACATAAGCGGAACTACATATAGTACCAATAAATTTGGCAAGGCAGCATAAATAATTATTTCCGTCGTGTTTCACATTGGCGTATGTCATGACTTTTGCAATTTCTGTTCATCTGTAGGTACTTATTTAAATGTGACAAGGGTGTTTGGATGTCAAAAAAGGCCATTCATTTTTTGTCATCCATACATTGAATTCTTAAAATGTAAATGTTGGAAATACATACAACATATTATACTAATACGTCAGGCTAGTCCAGCCCTGGGCCCTGGGTACAAAAATGATCAATCAATTGATAATTAAATAATTAATTCTCCAAATCATTTAATCTATTTAATTTAATAGGAATTCAATCAATAATTCAAATACAAAAAAAGAACCGTTCCTGTTACGTTGAATTAAATTCGAGAACATTAAATTTAATACAACCATATCGCTTAAGTCATATCTAGCTCTCCACCTCTCTCGTACATATAGACAGTTTAAATTTGAAGGTGGTTACAATTTCTGACACAATAATCAAGTCACGCTGCTAAACCTCACATATCCAAATGTCTGAATATTACAGGAGGGAGAAAATGCATAAATAGATGACGCCACCTTGCATGTGCAAGAATGAATTTTTCACTTTGTTAATACTGTCAGCCCCATCGTTGTGTACATAATGCATCTAGCTTCTTACAAAAACTAATACATAACTAATGCCTTATTCTATGTAACAACCTCTCATATAATGTTATTTGCAACAATCTCTCATATTTGTTCCTATAATAGAGTTCAACTAACTAGTGAATGATTTTTCTTCTGAACAAGTTCATACTTGTATTTGTGAAACTAAGTACTTTTTATCAGTTTAAAGTTATTTTATATCTTAAAAACTTCCGTTATGTCACGTGATATACACATACAAAATATGATAGTGTTTTCATTAAAAAAAATCTGTATAATTTTAAATCTAGCTTTGAAGAAAACTAAACAATATTTTAAAGTGTAGTGTGTTTCATTATTTTCCTGTGTTAGTTGCACGGGTTGTAACAAAAAGAAATCATGTAAATATATTTAGTTTTAAAGAAAACTCCTAGGTAAGTCAATGATTACATGTGGTTTGAATACCAAAAGTCATTTTTCGACTACTTTAAAACAAGTGTTTCTTAAGATGTCTTTACAACCCCTAGACACACTTCATAAACGGTTTTCAATATTTAAAATAATGCTAGGAAGTATATTTTTCCCAAAAACTACGTTTAAAGTCAACCACACATATGCGGCAGATTTCTATGGCTGAATGTATGTAGTCAGTTTATGAACTTTAAAGCTGGATATTCCAATTTCTGGCCTTACATTACCAATTAATACAGTAAACTTGAGCCAATTTATCGTTTTTCTGATCACTATTCTTAACTAGATTGTTAACCAATACCAGCAGTAAAGCAGTTTAGTGGCAGAATGAAACTAAAACATTACTTTTCAGTAACTTTATAAATGGGAGAAAAGTACCGGTAACTAGATTACTTTTGAAATTGTTACTTCGTTACAATAACGTGTTTAAAAAGTAAAGCAATACTTTCGAGTTAGTACTTTTTACTTTAAGTATCATAATTTTAATCTATACTATGTCTATTTTAGATAGCTTAGGTAGACGTCATGATAGGTCAGAAAGGATACTGTTGTTTTGTTTTCTATTATTATTTGACATCGTCTAGTAATTCTAATTTGTACTTATGTTTATTCCATAGGTTACAAGAAATATTATTTTTAATGTAATTTTGTCTAGAGTATTGTTTTCTGTTGAATAATTGAAAACTTTAGTAAAATAAAGTGTGAATTACAAATCATTTTTCCTTTCTTGTTCTGTTAAATCAAAGTGAGTAAAGATGTACACTAAATTTTAATTAATTTATTTTCAAAAGTAACTGGTTACTTTTAAAATAACGCGTTACTGAAAAACTAACACATTACTGCAATTAAAACGTTACTTTGCAGTAACACATTAATTTAAATGTAACAATGTTACAATAACTCATTAGTTTTCTTTTTAAAGTAATGGTAACGGTTATCTAATGCATTACTTTGCAGCAAAAGTTCATAACAGAGTCTCTTTTATTAGGTAGTAAATAATTAGTTTTTTTTTTAATGAAGTAATTAAAAATAGATTCATTTTTGAGTATGTCATCTGTTGGTAAATTAATTATCAATGCATGATAAATTAAATTACCTCTGCTTACATCATGAAATTTACCTTCTTTATCAATGTGATTGAATATTTGAACCACTCAAATATAAGTTTCAAGATAGCTAGATTAGATTTTAGTTTAATCAATGCAATGTGAAAGAATTTACTTACTATTTATGTAATTTAATCTTACAATTTAATCTATTTTAAAAATATCAATGCATTAAAATTATTTTCTTCTCAAAATACACTAGAATTAAAACACAGACAAAGCATGTAAGACTTCCCAACTATATAGAACATAGACATGAAAGGTTCCAAGAGAGAATGCAACTCAGATATTCGGAGTTGATGACCTAGATTTGGATATGACCTATGACACATTCAGTAGTGACTGTTTAATTTAAAACAATTTTAAAATTTAATTAGGTACTCCATTAATTATAGGAATTTTTTTCAATAATATAATATTTTGGCTACATTTTAGGAGAACCAAATAATTTCTTTATGTATTTTAATAACACCCTGTATATGGACAGTTCAAATACAAACACATAACAATAAAATTTGTTTTTAAAGTTGTCAATGCCTTTGAGGTAGTTTTCATTTTATTTGAGTCCAAAAAATAGATATTTTACATAATATCCTTCTACTGAGTGACTAAATGATTGCGATTTTTTTTTTTTATTTCTCCAAATAATTTGGTAACAGCAATTTATCATTAGTTGGTATTCCACAACAAAAATACACAATTGTAAAGAAGCACATTTGTTTTTCCATTGAGCAACTTTCAAAAAAATAAGAATTTTAGATCATTTGAAAAAGAGGAAACAGTTAACAAGAACATGAGTATTTCAGACTTGAAGAATTTTTTGGAAACTAACCCTAAATCTAATAAGAAATGACATCATTAATTATTTATTTAAGTTTTATTTTTAATAATTAGAGAGACCATTAAGTAGGCAAGTTAAGGCCTAGCTAGATTGAGGTTTCTAGCACTAGGTGAAGAAAAGCCAGATGAATGTAACTACATGAGGAAACCACTGTCAAGGGAACCACTAAGTCTAATAGAAAAGACCAATCTAACTAAAATGATGGGGTCCCGTAATAGATCTGTAAAGGTTGAGGACAAGGACAAATAATATGAAACTCCTTTAAATCTAATCTAAGTGATTAATCATGAATTTAAGATAATGGGTCCTATGATTGAACGTTTACGTTATCCGTAAGGTACATGTTAGGCCGAGTTTTAACAGTAACAAGGCAAGTTCGTACGATGGAAAACTTTTTCCAACACATTACTGTTATTTTCCGCCTGTTATGTTCTAATTTAACAGGTTTCCATCATACGAAGTTGCCTCGTTACTTTTAAAATTCGGCCTAACATGTACGTTACGGATAACGTAAACGTTCAATCATAGGACCCAATGAATGGCAGGATCTTTGATGCAAAGAATAGCCTTGTCTGTATCAGTCAATTTGATCAGTAACTTTGAAAACTTCATATATAATTACATATTGTTCATTACTTTTAATTGAATTCTTTGAAAACTCACCCATTACTTGAGGTAATTTGTTCATACCAATAAAAGGGATATTCAATTGGAAACCATTCTTGGCATAAAGACCTGACTTCATCCAAATCATCAGGACATAAAAATCGGAGCTGTACGTCAGCTAAAGAATATAATAATATGGTCTTTTCGCTCTTGGCGGAAGACCCGTCAGAACATTTTCCATTAGGCTGGTACCTGTTTAAAATGTCTTGTAAAATATCATTTAAATTTTAATAGGTTAGATACCTACCAATTTATATCTGCCATTTGTGACACGTTTTAATACATCTATCGGACGAAATAAAATTTTTCCTTCATTATTAAACAGAAAAATTTTGATGATTGATAATATTTTGTCATAATAATTATTTTGATCTTGAGCAGCCTTCTAATTTTGACAGTTGACAATTGTCAAAAAAATTGTTTTGATGTATGAAATGAATGTTGCCATTTTATTAAATCCGACAACGTTGCAAGTTATTGCACATTTTTTATTCTTTAGCTGCTTTCCACTTTAAAAATTAATTTTCAGATAAAATTGACTTATATAAATACATTTAAAATGTATCTTCAAATACAACTTTCAGCAAAAATGTTGTTAGTATTAAGTTTTGGACTAAACTTTCATAGTAATCTAGCCACAAATCAGAAAAATGGTCTTTTACTTAATGGCAAATTTCAAATGAATTTTATTTAAGGTTAAGTAAACAATAAATATTTAAATAATTATTAAAAAGTTTTAAGTTAATTCAATTGTGTGTCTAAACTTACAGGAAACATATTATAATGGTAATAGCATTAGGGTTCGAAGGAAGTGCAAATAAATTAGGTATTGGAGTGATTAAGGATGGAAAAATCCTATCAAATTGTCGAAGAACATACATAACACCACCAGGGGAAGGTTTCCTACCCAAAGAAACGGCACAACACCACAAAGAAAATGTATTAATTGTATTAAAAGAAGCCTTAGATCAATCACAAATTAAACCTGAAGATATAGACGTAATTTGTTATACAAAAGGACCCGGTATGGGAGCACCTTTAGCTACAGTTGCTGTGGTTGCTAGAACTGTTGCACAAATTTGGAATAAACCTTTACTTGGTGTTAACCATTGTATTGGACGTATCCTTATATATGATTTGTTGTTTAGGTAAAAGATTTTGTTTTAGATATTATGTTGTTTCTTAAATTGATACCATTTATTTTATATGAGTACTTAACAAATATTAGATATTGAAATGGGTAGACTTATAACAGGGGCCAATAATCCAACAGTACTTTATGTTAGTGGGGGAAACACCCAAATAATAGCATATGCTAGAAAAAGGTATCGAATTTTCGGAGAGACTATTGATATAGCAGTAGGTAATTGCCTTGATCGGTTTGCTAGGGTTTTAAAAATTTCAAATGATCCCAGTCCAGGATACAATATTGAACAACTGGCCAAGAAAGGATCAAAGTTTGTACCACTTCCCTATTGTGTAAAAGGAATGGATGTAAGCTTTTCTGGAATTTTATCCTATATGGAAGAAAAGACTGAAAGTCTTCTAAAGGAAGGGCATACCCCTGAAGATCTTTGTTTCTCATTGCAGGTAATGATGCCAAATCAATGTCTTTAATTTTTGTAAATAACTTGTTTTACTAGGAAACTATATTTGCTATGTTAGTTGAAACTACAGAAAGAGCTCTAGCTCATTGCAATTCCCAAGAAGTTTTAATAGTTGGTGGAGTAGGATGTAATTTGAGATTACAAGAAATGATGGGTGTGATGTGCAAAGAAAGGGATGCAGAACTTTTTGCTACAGATGAACGATTTTGCATTGATAATGGTATTATGATTGCTCATGCAGGTGCAGAAATGTTTACAGCAGGCCTGAGAATGAAGTGGGAAGATTCTTTTATAACACAAAGGTACAGGACTGACGATGTAGAAACTGTTTGGAGGAGTGATTGATATTTCATAATGAATTTTTGTTGAATAAAATGTTTTTCCTAATTGGTTTTAGTTTATTATTTATGATACTAACAGTGTATTCTCACCAAATTAAACTCAAATCTATAATTATTTTATTGAATATACAGAAAATACCCATTAGGTACAATAAAAAATATACAAAATTTTAAAAGATAATATATTAATTTGAAACAGACACTGACATTTAAGTCAGTCAAATGACAAGAATTAAGTTTTTTATTATTATAAAATAATAGAAAATATGTGTCCAACACATGACTTTCCTGTAGTTATCAAAAATATTTAGTATGGTCCATGTGATCAGAAAATACATTTTTAGAATATGAATCAATGATAAAAAATATTCAAAAGATTTTTTAATATCTTCATTGCCAACGAAAATAATGAAAAATTTCAATTTTGTTGTTTTTCAAATTTCTCCATAACTCTCCATTTTAGAGCAATTATATACAGAACAAAAATAATGGAGAATGACACAACTCTTATTGAAATAATTTTCTTCTATAATATTAAATAGCTTAAATATACCTTAAATTAGAAAAATTACCTCCTATAAAGTACACCCAGGTGTTCCGACTTAAGCTTAAGTTTCAAATTTGGTGTTTTTCTATTTTTTTTTTTTTTATAATGCAGACACCATCGAGAAAATTATCAAAACGGATTCAGGGTATCCCAAAATGTAACGATTGCCGAAAAAAAATTATTACTATACTTCCTTTACGGGATACAGGAAAGTAAAAATTATTAGGAATGAATGAACATAAATATTTATTTCTTCTCAATTTCGCAGAAGCTAAAAGCACATAATTAAATAAAAAAATTACTTATATCTAAAATAGAAAATAAACACTTTAAACAATAATATGCCACATATGCTGAATCATTAACTTATAATATCTTAATTTATGTTTAAATGAGGTGACATTTCTGAGTTCTAGGGGTTACTCATTAAAAGCTAGCTGAAATACTGAGTTTTGAGACTGTTTACTTGCAGAATATGAAAATTAGATGTATTTATTGCAGGGGCGACTACTCTTTAATTCCCCATGGCCGCGCGCCCCTCCTAAAAAATACCAGATAATAAAATCCTGATTAAAAATATTATTTGTCTTATAAATTTATCTATCGTCTCATGTCCCCTCTAAATCATTCCTATAATAACAATTTATGATCTCTTTGACTGGACTATCGTCGGCTGCAGCAAGATAGAGGCCCTCGTCACTATGGAAACGGAGTGGGACACGCACTACTGAGCTAACGAGTACGTCTGCTCTGTTTTCGCGGCCGGCCAACATTTAATATTTAGATGGGTCAGGCGCCTGCGGCGCCTGTTTTACTTTCTTAAAGTTGTTTTATAATTTTCACGGAATTTTTAAGAAGCACCATATGGTAAATGATAGACTAAACCAGTTAGCTATGATATCAATAAATAGAAATTTAGTTCTGAAGATAAATAATTTCGACGAAAAAGTCATGGAAAAATGTATTTCAATGAAGGATCCTAGAGCAGATTTCAATTTCAAGAATTCCTGTCATGAACTTTCATGAAAACAGAAATTAAAACAATATAAATATGTTGATTTTCCGGTTTGATTTTTTTTTTAAATAATTATTTTAGTAAGACATGTCACTATAAGAAATATATTTCATTTTATTTATTGACTATTTTTTTTTTCGTTTTATTGCCTGTGTGTATTTACCTAATATGCCCGTCTCAATTTGTGTTTATCTTCTTATTCATGTGTGTTTTGTGTAGGCGTTGTTACTGTTTCCCAGCGCCACTTCAAGGACAGCACTTTTAATTAGAACCCAACAGAGAATGGTTGAGTAAGGAATACTACCTATGCATTAGAATATTTTATTTTTTTTAATTAAATAAAAATTCTGCATCGCACACTGGGGCAACAAGCCCTCAAACTTGGCAATAAATAAAAAAATTAAATAGCATATACACTCTACCTCATATTTTTTTCTTATATATTACTGTCCACTACATAATAAAACGAACAAGTGCGATCTTCTGTCTTACGCGTTTCATCGCCACCTTCAGTCAAAGTTACTTATCTGAGGCGAGTATATAATCAGTAGTAATACCACAGCTTATTCATATCATATATAAATAAGCTGTGGTAATACAATAGGTCTGTTCTGGTTTTGAGAAATAACGATCCACAACTGTCGGGCTCATGCGCAGTAGATAAAAAGTGTTCTGGTTTTTCTGGGACTACTTCGGATCTCTCAGTCCAGTGTTCTGGTTTCGTATCCGAAATAATCCGTGATTGTTGTAAACAGTCAAAAAGTGTTCATGCTTGGGAGTGTGGATCGACTCGGACTGTTTTGCCGCGCATGCGTTTTTGAAGTGTTATGAATATTGTATTGGCTTTTTAGACCATACGAAACGTATACAATCCCAAATTGTTTATTTATATGTGGACGAATGTCTCTTGTTCTTGTTTTATTTGTAAATTAAAGCAATTTTAGAATTATTAATTTTTTAATATTCTGTTTTTATTTATTCCATTGAAATGTGATGATAATGATAAACATATACATGCAAATGTTATTTGAAGCTGAGCTTTCAAAAGGAACTTCATTATTATAATAAACAATAAACAAAACACCTTCATGACGTGTTCTGGTTTTCCAAGAATTTCAAACAGTCGGGGATTTTTTGCCTTTACGCATACGGTCCGGCGCAGTTTCAAAACAGTTTTCATTTTGAGAACCAGAACAAACCTAATAAGTACTTCAAAATAATCAGGTTATACATCGATAACTTGTTGCATAATTATAAAGAGTGTCAGTTTAAATAATCCGACCGCGAAGCGGGAGGATTATTCTGTCAAACTGACACGATTTGTAATTATGCAGGAAGTTTGAGATGTATAACCGTATTTATTTTGAAGTACGTATTGTATTTGATACGATTATTTTTTGAGTAAATTAAGTAAATATCAACAATTTATTAATTTAAATACATATTGGTAAAATGAAAATTACAATTATTAATTATTGATAAACGTCAAAATTTGACTGTCCTGTTAGTTAGTGTATTGTTGTCGATGTGGTTACTACGGAAATGAAATTATTGTAAATATTTTTGATTGGTGGAGCTACTCTATATATAATCAGGTATTATCGAAATTATACGAGGTAACTTAACTAAATTGAACGTTCTAATTGGTTAAAAGTTATACGAAAAAAATAATCATTGTTATTTTGTAGTTTTTAACTTGTTTTTGTACTGTGATTAGACTGAATTTTGATTTTTTTTTCAAATTTCCGCCATGGAGCCTTTAAGTTCAGCTATGTATTATTATTTTAATAAGTAAAAAGTTGTAGAAAAATAAACGTAATCTTATAATATTGGGGTTAAGTAAAATGAAGGTTAAACGTTAAAATTTTAAAATATTCTTAAATACATGAAGGCTATTTGTTATTGTGTTCCAAAGCAGTCCAAGCTTTAAATTTCGACTTTTCATAATGAATATTGTTTGTACTTTTCGAAATCGTTTAGTTTCTGTAAACTTATTTGCACTTTTCTTCACTATTTGGGTTTTTTCAAAGTATATAAATATATGACGGGATGATCATTAAAAAAAAATTCTGTTTCGTTTATTAATAAATCGATTTTATTGTCCTTAGGTTCATTTTATAGGCAACTAAATATGCTCCCAGATAGACATAACAAAATGCTAGAAATGTAAAATTTAAGATGGCCGACCTAATTGAAAAAAAAAACGAGCCCAAAAGTAACCCATTTTAAGCTCGTTTTGCGTAATAATTATAAATTAAATATAAAATCTAATAACAAAAGTTAAATATCTAAGCTATTTTCTTTATTTTAAGACCTCTCCGAGCACGATTGGTCCATTCAATCGTAAGATATAGAGAATCAAAGTTGTCTGGTTTTTATGTTTTCATAGAAGCCTATATAATAACACATTATTATGCTTTGCAACGCTATTTTATTTTTTGACCGTTTTGTACTCAATCCATCTGATTTGGTAGGTATGTAAATATACTTTCCGACCACTATGTTTTTAGAAAGAAACTTCTTAATATTATGAGAAGTTCTGGAAAGAATGAAATTAATTTGCTCACAACACCGTTAGATACTTTGTTGAAAAGTACCCACGGTCAATATGCCTCCGACATTGCACAAATACTTTATTCATGGGCCTGAAATAATATCTTCTGCTTTGTTGCCTAGAGACCAATTAACAGAGAAAACTAATTAGGATGTCTTTATAATTCGTTTTAACTTAGTTTCGACGTTGTAATCACGAGCAAACGAAAATTAAAAAAAGAAAGAACCTGCAGCACTTTCCTAAAGAAGCAGTAGATTTGTTTAAATCTGGACTCGTCCAGCTTCATAGCCATGGTATATTCATGACACTGATGATGACCGTGGAGACGATGAAGAAAATGTCTTATCACATTCTAAAGAGGATGAAATTTGATTACAGTTATCATAGCTTTTCTAAATGAAATTATTATATTAAATTTTTATTATCTGTATCTTTAACGTGTGGAGAGTGGATTACCCCCACGGCACTAAGACCCTCATTAGGCTCATGACATTATTATTATATTATATGTTAGTACTTATTACAAAAGAAAATACATAGAGGGCTTATAAAGTGTTTATTTGCTAAAAAAAAAATAGAAAGATATTAAGAATAGAATATACATTTTTATTATATTATATTCTTAATAACTTTCTATTTTTTTAGCAAACAAACACTTTATAAGTCCTCTATGTATTTTCATTTGTAATACTAACACCTCTACAAAGCAATATTTAACTTACAAATTCATAAAGAAAGTCTGTGATTTATTGCCAACTTTGATGGCTTGTTGCCCCATTGTGCATTGGTGGGATTCGATCCTAAGACAAGGTACAGGGTGTAGTGTGGTATTTTTTCAGTTATAATGAAAAAATAAAAAAACAAATTTTTTTTCTATAATCCCCACCACAAAGCATGTATCTTCTAGAGACCCCACGCCAATGTTAAACTTTTAAACCAAATTAGCGCCACCTTGTGTTTGGAGCTGGAACTAAAATGACAATTGACAGATGGCGGTAAATTCAAATTGTAATTTTTAGGAGTAGGTAGTAATTTTAAATGATTTCCACATAAATTATTTTATAAAATAAAGTATGGAACTAGTAAGTTCGAAACTTTTATTTTACAAAATAATTTAGGTCGATTATACCAAATTTGAAGAATTAATTTGTTATAAGGGGTCTAATGTGGAGAGTTGGTTCTGCATATTTTTATTAAATAAATATAAGATATATCAATAAATAATAAAATAGAACATTCTTAAAATATGTTTATTAATAACTTAAATAAATATTATTAGATAAAAATAAATACAAATAATAATACATATTTAACGAATACTTACTTGGAGCAAATAGATATACCTATAATCTCAAATCTTTAAAATACCTATCAATAATTTAAATGTGAAGTAGAGACTAGGATATTACATTTTATTAACACTAAAGTTATATATTTTATAAATGTCTTTTTAACTGAGGACAAATGTAATATAGGTATTGTATTAAAAGGTGAATCCTTTTAACTATTCATTCAATGATAAATAGGTATTTTCCTTCCAAATACAGATGGTGGTATTACTATCTTATGTGAAAAATGATTTCGGAATCTAGTCCAGTGATAAATTGCTTATCAATTAGTTGTTGTCCCCGTTTGTCTTTTTATGATGCAGATGCATGGTGAATATATGGTGAATCAATGAAGTTTTTCTCGAAGTTTTCAACGTAGCACCAAAATTATTGCAAAACACAGTAGGAAATAAAAAAGCGAAACATCACAATTTTGCAAATAACTAAGACGAAACTATAAAGAGAAACCAAAAGCCAAAGCAACAAAAAATCACTAAAATCAGACGGAAAAATGAAATTAACCAAGAACATAAATAAATACACGTCACATCTTTGGAGTCTTTGGTTAAGTTTTTCTCCCATAAGGCTTAAAAATGGAGTAAGAAATCATAATTTCACCAGTAGCCCCATCTAGAGTTTGGAGCAAATAGCATAAAAAATGTCAGTTGTCGGTTTTGACCTTGGTCATTCACGTGGAACCTCTATGTGCTTTGTGATCCCCACCGTTAAGCGAATTGGTTCCCCCCACCTTCCCAGCTCACGAGCCGCCATTGATTTCTTTTGTTATAGTTACGATAGTCAAAGTTATTTATTTTATCAAGCAAATATGAGAGAACCAATACATAATGGTGGCACAATAAGTGAAATGAGGCAAAATTATACTGTTATATAAAATATTCAATGACCATTCATTAAGATATTTTGAGCACCGGTACAAGTAGTTGATTTTAAATACTACTGTTTTAACTATGTATTCGCTCCGTGCGCGACAGCAGCGCCAATTTGTTTTGGTATTAAAGGAGTATTTCTGCCTATACTGACAAATACAATTTTTAATAGAATTCGTAAATAAAAAGTATATATGTTAGTTTTAATAAAAGTATATGGATTTATAAAACAATTAAAACATTAATTTATTATTATTATATATTTTTCACGCTTAAATTGAAGAAAATTATGCATAATCATTAAAAATCAATAATAAAATATAGGCAGGCAACAGTATTTACTGGAAAATGTATGAGAAGTTGCCTAAGTCTAATAAGTTGTCATTGAAGAAACCATTTATAATAGCGTGAAGTTAAAATGTATAAAAAGGATCGCTACTTATATTTTCATTTTTGTTCTAAAGAAAACATAGAATGAATGATTAAAACTGGTTTCCGATCAGTAAGTCACAAAATTGCATACCAGCCAAATATTATAATCAACGGCAGAAATCTTTAAATCTAGTCGTTGCTGAATGAACATGTAAGAATAAAGGGATATTAAAGAACATCGTAAAATGATAATTTATTGTTTATTTAAAAACTTTCTAGTTTCTGATGTCTACTATTTCCAGCATTACTGTTATTATCACAAAAATAAGGGTGATTTTTCTTCTTATTGTACACCTATCCATTTATTTCTTTGATTTAATTTCCACTTTGTTAGTGAAATTTATTATATAAGTTTCACTGTTTTTTTTTGCTAGTATTTGTACAATTTTCAACACAGCAACTCCGGTTGCTTATTGTTGTTTTTACCTTTTTTGAAAAAAAGTAAAATGTATACGTGTATTTGATATGCCAAAATTACAAAATATCCCCCTAAAATGTACGAATTATCCGCAGCTAGCGCTAGTATCGCTTTTGCTTCCCTTTCCATGACTTCGCACGGAGCGAATATAGTTTGCATAATCTTTCAAAAACGACTATTACTTCCACGTATTTTTTATGACGTCAATGACATCCTTTTCAATACTAATAATTTTCAGTAAATTCATTTTAATACCTAACATTTCCAATGATCATAAACTTTCTTTTATTAATATTTACTTTTAATGGATTAAAACAGCACCAATCATATATTTGCTTTAATGTGGCATATACACATTTCACCCCCTCAGTGAATCTTAAAAGTAGAGCTTGTGCAAGAGAAGGATGGCCATTATAATTATTTGCCATGCAGATGAAGAAAACTCCAACCATTATTGACACTAGACAACAAAGATATCAAAATCAGTTTTAAATAATCGGTATCACAAAAAAATGAAATGAAATCTCAAAATAATACTTTTTATTTTATTTTTAATATGAACTAAACTTTCCACGAATTACAAGAAAGTTACAATACAAAAAAAACCTAAAAAATATTTAAGTGAAACATGTTTATAGTGCTTATATATACAAAAAATTGTTAACTGCATTTACTTCTTAAATCTTAACACATTAATGACGGAAAGTGCAAAAGTTTAATTAACCTTTGACCTTTTCTTAGCAATGGCATCTTCCACAGCTTTAAGTTGCTTCAATAACTCTTCTCGCCTTGAGGTAGCTTTCTTAGATTTTGGATCACCTGCTGGTGGTGAATTGGCAGGTCTCTTCTTTACTTGTGCAGAATCACCTTTTCTAAATTCGGAGGAATCTGGTTTCTTTGCACCTACCGGATTTTTTAGATTCAGTTTTATTTGCTTTTTCTCTAGTGCATTACCTTTAAGAGCATCCATTGCTTTGACCAATTCAACAGCTAAAAAAATAATATAATCAATTTAAAACTAAAAAACTATTTTTCCTTCTTACCTGGACTTCTCACAGGTGGACTGTTATCTCTGCTAGTGGAACTGCTAGAATCGGAAGAATCAGATTCACTAGAACTTGAACCTGAACTTCCTGATGATGATCGAGATGATTGATGTCTTTTAATTCGAGACAAGGCTGCAGCAACAGCTAACTTCTTTCTACTTCTTGCAAATTGATCTTCTCTAGGAGGTGCAGGCGGATTGGCTGCTGCACTAACTCTCATCATTCCTATATGAAAACAAAGATTTTAAATTTAATAATAAAAAGAATTTAAAACTTTAAAAACAATCATAGGAAAACAGTTAGGGACAGAGTAAGAAACAGCAATATACAAGATAAAAAGAAGAAATTATCTAAACATAAAAAAAAAATTTGAACAAACACTTTTCACAAAAGTTGTAAACTAATAACAGTAGTTTTTAATAGTGATACTTAAGTTGTTTGTAATTGTTACTGACCTGGAGATGGAGCTCGTCTCTTTGGCGCCGGTGGATTCATTAATGCAGCCCTCTCATTAGCTGCTTTCCTTTCAGACACAATGACTGATGGTGACACGGGTCTACCCTTGTGGGATCTGGACCTGGGTCTACGGAGTGACCGCGATCTTGATCTGTACGAACTTCTGCTTGAATCTGATGAACTTCGAGAAGAACTGAAATTAGTTAACGTAAAAGAGGCAAATTGATAAAAAAAAAATGTTAAAAATCTCTTTAAAATCTTATTTGAAAAATAAAAAGCAAATAAAGGCTTAAAAGTGAAATGAAAGAGTCTGTATTGGGCCATACCTGCTTGAAGAATAGGACGATCCAGAACTGTAAGATCGTTTTCTTCCTACACCACCTGCTCCCCCTCCTCCTACTACTGCTGCTGTTCCTCCTCCTCCTGAACCGTCTTTTCTTCTTCCCGCTTCTTTTGATCTCATCCATGGATCAGACCATTCATCTCCTCTACCAGCTTGACGTTCACTTTCCACCCGTTGTACAATTACCTATTACAAGTTAAAAAGTAAAAGATAGGCAAAAAATAAATAACACGTTAATGGATATGGCGGTCCCAAGTTCCGCTGAGAGAAGTATAAGCAGAATATGCTCAATTATCTCTTCAAAGACGGTGCTAATCAAGTTAGATCTTTAAAATCGATCATAGTACACTGTACTGTGTGTGTAATCAATTACAACCACCTATTTCGCTTCTTAAAGTAGAATTGTGTCAGGAATGTGTAACATAATTGCCATATATTAAAAGAATTCCTTTCATTCTACAAATTATGCTATTGTTGCTTAACACTATAACATATCATACTTAAGATCATTTGTCTCAGAGATAAATTACAAAACTTAAATTTTATGTATCTTATTTGATTTGCTTAATTTATTACATATTAATAATTTTAGTTTAACAACTTTTTACTGTCGACCTACTTTAAGATGCAGGAGAGTAAGCATTTGGACAAGAGATAGTAATAGTGTAAAACCAATTGAGTTAGAGAAATATTGCTTGGAACAACATTTCGAAATTTATGCTATTAGCTATAATTTTAATGGAATAGATAATTTGATAATTAATTGTTATAGGTCACCATCGGGTAATATTTTTTAATCAAATAGCAAACGTTTTTGATCATTTATATAAACCTAATATAAATTTTATTTGAACAGGCGATTTTAATTTTGATAGCTTTACAAATTATCATTTTAAACAGTTATGCAATACTATGATCTTGTTCCTGTTGTAAAATGGCCTACGCGAGTTACTATGAGCTCCTGTACTATCATAGATCAAATATTTGTAAGTTCATTTGAAAAAGATGCTACCTGTTGTGTTATTGATAACGATATATCCGATCACCGATCAGTTTTATTAGAAACGAGTTTATTTTAAATAAGTAAACATTCAGGAGAACATTCTTTAAAACGATATTTTAGTGAAAACAATATTTCTGCTTTTAAATTTTCACTTTTAAATGAAGATTGGTCATCTCTATATCATATGCAAGATTTTGACCAAGCATTTGATTACTTTTATAAGAAATTCTTAATTTATTTTAATTCATGTTTCCTCAAACGGAAGTCATATTTCCAATATAATAATAAAAAATGGATAGATGCTGAAGTTTTGGCATCTAGTGCAAAATTGAAAGATCTCTTTCCTTTACAAAAGATAAATACAAATTTTAAGATATTTAAGTTTTTTTTCTTTTTTGTGTGATACTTTAGGTTAGGTTTAAAATATCTACTGATAATAATTATTTTGTAAAAGATTTTCCGTAAATAAATAAAATAAGAAAATAAAAAATCGACTCTGATTAAATTTCCCTATAAACATAAATTGTCATCTTATGTTTATATACTTTATATTTATCTTATGGTTACTGTGACTTGTGTCATTTTTGCACATATGCTGACTTATTTGCTTTTTGAAATTACCAATTCAATACGTAATTTACTTAACATGGACATCATGGCTCAGTTGTCTGCTAGCAAGAGTTTGCTACACCTTGCCATGTATCTTAGAATATATTGTTTCTTGCAATTTTTTTGCCATGCACTAAAACGGGCACATCTGAGAGAAGCTCCATACAGGAAATACATCGTCACTAATAATTTATTTGAAACGAACTGGTGGTGTGGTTTTTGTTCAGGAGAATTGGAGAGAGAGAGAGAGAGAGAGAGGGATAAAGGTTATTCTCTGTAAATTATAAACTTAACTCACTTCTCGTTTAGGTTTATTCCCTCTTGGTTTACTACTACCAGAATGCTGTGGTGGAGGTTCTTCTTCGTATTTACTATTGAAGAAGTCAGGCATACGATGTGCCGGTAATTCTCGATAAGATCGCATTCGTTCACGAGCAGGGGGAGGTGGTACATATTCAGGTTCATAAACAACTTGCCTACGTCCATAATATTCCTCTGGTGGTCTTGAGACTGGGTATTCTACATGTCGAACATACCTGTAAATATTTTTAAGTTAAATAATTTTAGAAAAGCAATGATTAAGAAACAAACCTTGGTTCTGGCGAAGTTACTCTTCCATAGTAACCGTTTTCTTTGTCAAATTCTTCCTGAGCCAAACTTAAATTCATTTTCTTTTCTTCAAAATCAATGTCCTGCTCCTTTCGTTTTACCGACTTTCGAAGCATTTCTTTAGCCGTGCGAAGACCCCTTTCCCATGCAGATTCAACAACTGGTGGATCGACTTTGCCATATAATCGTTCATCTCGGAACTCACCAGGTACTACTGGTCGAATCATTTCAAACATTGTATAGTTACCTAAATTGGAATAAAATTTTAGAATCACTTTTCTGTATTTGAAATAAAATTGTTTCCTAACCTTTATCTGTAACACCAGGATGTAGAAATCTGCAACTAGCTCCCCATGTGCATTGTCCTCTTGAGAAAAACCTACAAACAGGTCTAGGTTCAGTCTCCTCAGGTCTGACATCATCTTCATCTGTTACTTCACCTTCTTCTAATTCTTCTTTTTCCTTTTCCTCTTTTTCCTTCCTACTTTTTTCTTCAGTCTTATCAAAGTCTTCTGTTTTAGATGGGTCATCAGTTTCGTTTTCTTTGGTAACTTCAGCTTCACATTCACCATCCTCAGCTTCAAAATCTAACTGCTCTTCCCCTTCTTCTGGCCTGGACTGTTTTTCTGGGATCTAAAAATAATTATTGGATACAAGTTAATAGATTTATTTAAAATAATGCTTTTAAAAATATACCTTTTTTTGTTCAGGCGAAGGTGATCTATCCCTAATTTCTTTTCCATTTACTTTCTCTTCTGGTTTGGGACTTGGCACATTTTCATTATCAGATTGCCCCCCAATTGAATCTTCTAAATCTGAAACATCTGATAGATCTTCATGTGATATGTTTATTTCATGTCTTACACTAGGTTCTTCTTTGGCACGGGGCTCTTCTTTTTCATGTTCAGATTCCATATCTCCTAAAAAATTAAATCGTTTATTATAACCAATGCTTGGTACAAACTTTATTAAAATACCATCAGAAATTTCCTCCGGTTGAGTATCCACAGTTTTAGCAATATTCTTATTTCTCCTGCTTGAGGAATCAACACTGCTGTCACTTGAATCAGAAGTATCATCTTTTCTCCTATTTCTTCCAATGCCTCTTGATCCTCTAGAATAAGCAGATTTTCTGGATTCCCTGCTTGATTTTGATTTTCTAGAACTATCACTACTGTCACTTTTAACAGAAGTATTGTCATCATTTGGAGATTTCTTATTATCAAAGGTCCTAATGGGAGATCTTGCAGGAGATCCCAAGGAGCTACTTCGAGATGAATTTTGAGAGGAAGGTGATCTAGGCTGACCTGGTACCTGTCTCAGTGAACTCGGAGACGTACGGCGCGCGATTGGGGAATCACGGGGACTCCGAGACCTATGGCGCATGATTGGTGATTTATGCTGACTTGGAGACTTACGGCGCATGATTGGCGAATCATGTGGACTTGCAGACCTAGGACGCGTGATTGGCGAATCATTTGTTTTTTTGGTGGTTTTGAGCGATTTGGGTAGCTCCTCATCAGAAGAGGAAGAAGATATACTGGATGATCTGGATCTGGCTCTAGCTAGAAGCAATAAAATTTAAAATTACTTATTATTAAAAAACAAAAACAAATAAATTTATTATGTTGGTGAGGGGTAAAAAGGGTTCTCCCGTTAATACACAAATCAATAAATCAATAGAATAAAAATTTTAACTGTGATGTACGGCTGAATATAGGATGAAAAGATCACTAATAGTAAAAAAATAATAGGAAGAAATTATTAAAAAAAAAAAAAAAAAATTAGGGGTTGTTTCTAGAGGGTGGTTTGTCAGAGTTTTGATATGAGATTTTTTTATTTATTTATTCAGCTCATTCAGGAATGCAACAGACCGAGGTCCATATAAGCATCCACAAGATCAGTATTGTACATTGTTTTCATAATAAGTTTTAAAATAAAATAAAGAACATTAAGTAAAAAAATATAGACAAATAACATGTAGATAAAATCTAAGAACATTGACATTAATTCTAAATAGCCAGATAGTGAGACTTCCAATTTCTGTTATAGTGAACTTGGTGAGATATTAAAAAAGTAAATGGTTTGCATTTCTTACTATTCTAATACAAAAAAGATTTGTATTGATACCAATATTATTATTTAAAAAAATTTATTCTGAATATTTTGCAACCTACTGATGTAAGTTGTGTATCTGGGAGACCAAATTACACTGCCGAAATTTAGCTTACTTAAAACAAAAGCATTGTAAACATTAACCATAGGTTACATGGTTTGAAAATGTTTACATTCTTTGAATATATAGCTGGGTAACTCAAATGGAAAAACATGAGGAAGGTAATTTAGTACCACTCCAATTAACGGGATGGCGCTCGTATCGAAATGTAAGTTGTCAGCTCGAACAGCTCGTGCCAAACTTCAAAAAATTAAAATGGTTGTTCCAGTTGAAGGTGCATTGGATTTTGATTCATCTAAATATTATATTTTTTAATACCTTCCAATTTTAAGCATCTTTTAAAAAGAGGAAGATGAGTTTCAGCAACGAGCAATAAAGCACTCACAGATATTGGTAGTTATGCAATTTATACCTTAAATATGAGGTAGACATATTAAGGTTAACCAAACAATTTGTAACAAGAAAAATGCATCTTGTACTGTTTGGCACCAATGGTGATATTTACAGACTTGTTTATTGATTCAGAGTTAAAATAATTGGTTTATTTTATTCTTTTTGTTTTCAGTTTTTAATGATTATTATTGTAAAGAAAATGGTGGTCCTCCAAAATACCCAGTACATCTATGAAATCTGTTAGCCTCAACCATCAATATCAAAAATTCATTCAATGCCATTGACATCAACCAAAAATTATCCCAAAATCTTCAAGGGTCCAAACGTGTGTAAGTTTAATTTAAGCTCGAAAGCTAAATTCATTTCACAGTGCCCAGAGGATAAATTAGAATTTGATAAACTTCAAGTGATGTACAAATAAATCAATAAAAAAATTATCTGATGAAGAAATGCTGCTCATCCTAACTAGTGGACTTGATAAGCATAATATGACAAATTTTATCTACACTTAAATTCGCCTTGATAGACATCAAAAGGATGACTTCAATTTTTCAAACTTATTTGCCACTCATAAAACTCTTGTAAAGGCCTTGAGCACTATACATGCTGATTTTGTTACAGAAACATTTTTGATAGGTTTGTTTTATAAATATTTATTTAAATGGTGTAAATGTATATTTGTTTGAGCATTTCCATGTTTAAATAGTCAAATTGTATGATGTGGCATTAAATTACTTTAATAAAAATAAAATAAATTGCATTTTATTTCAAGTTTGAAATTAATGCAAAAATGTAATGAAGTAAAATCAAATAAAAATATAAATTGGCAAAATATTCGACTAGTTTCAAATCATAAAACAGTCAATATGTTTTTTTTTATGATTTGAAACTAGTAAAAAAAACCATTTTTTTTTTTAGTTTGAATTTCTTCATTACATTTTTGCCTAGCTAGTAACAAAGTTAAATTTCAAAATTCCCGCCGCAAGCGGCTATATTGAATTTAGTACCACTCCAATTTGATAGATGGCAGCACATCGCCTCAAAATTTTACCATTGGGTTTCCCATCTATTCACATTACCCTAATTTATGATATAGCCCAACATCCTTGAAGTGGTACTTACTAAACACTCTATGTAATTTTCAAATGTTAATTTGTTGTCAAAAATTAAACCTAGATCGCGGATTTCATTAACACGACAAAGATTTTCATTGTTTATGTAGTAAGAATTTTGTAAATGTAAATTACGAGTGAATGACATTGAATAACATTTACTGAGATTAAGGAAAAGTCCATTCATGTCACAAAATTCGACGACTCGCTTTAATTCATTTTGGAGATATACAGCATCAATGATACACATGATTTGTTTATATATTTTTAAATGGTCAGTGTACAGTAAGAACCGGGACTTCAAGGCTTTATGCTGCTGATATATATATAATAAAGAACAATGGTCCTAAATAAGATCCTTGTGGCACACCAGAGCTTACTGAGTAACTGTCTGATTCAATTCCATGTACATGTACAAACTGGGATCTTTTTTTAATATAAGATTCTATCCATCTTAGGAGGGTACTACTGCCCACACCAACTTCAGCAAGACAGGAAAGAAAATATTAATAGCTGATTTTATCGAGGGCCTTGCTGAAGTTCGTGTAGATTACATCCACCTGAATCTGGTGGTCTAAATCCTAATTAAATTCGTATCTAAAGATCCCTTAAAGAATCCATGTTGTTAATTATTTATATTTTTTTACAAGTAGAAATAAATATTTAAAAATAAATTGTTCAAAAACTTGTACAACTGATGTGTAGCAGTAGTTTTTAGATGTGGTTTTTTATACATGAAAATGCAACGATTTCTTCATTGTACAGGAGAGCTGTCAGGTAAAGTGATGGTTGTTGGTAGATAATTTTGACAATGCGATTTTCTATAACTCTGAGAGGTTGTAAGGTTGCATCATATAAACCCTCCAAACAATTATACCATATCGAAGGATTGACTCTACTAGAGTGATTTGTAAATAATTATTAACTGTTTGCGGTTCATAAACTTTCTCATTTGATAAAATTTGTATATGAACACTTTAAGCCCCACCATGCAATCAGAATTTCTGGTCCCATGGGCCAACTTTTTATTTATGGCTATTCCTACTGTTACATTGTTTTTTGATCATGTTGCCAATAAAGTCTAGAGCATTTGTTTATTATATTTACATTTAAATCTAAGCCTCTATCACCTGATAAAAAAATTTACATCTCAGGTTCATCTGATGTGGATATTCAAATGCAGCAAATACATAACAGCTGCAAACCTGCTAGAGGGCACTAAAACCAACCCAATAAAAAGTTATATCACTGAATTCCCCTTAAAATTACCTTGTAAAGATGGATCATACTTGGTACTTTCCTTCACATTTGAGGAGAATGAAATATGGACAGGGATAGAAAGGTGACCCTTGCAATAAAAATCAACCCATTTTCTTTTTAATTTATCCTTCAAAATATTCTGAGATACAGCCCCTAACAGCCCTTAATCATTTAAAATTAAATAAATGCCATATTTTCACAGTATTTAAACTACAGCGCTGCCGTGTAAGAATAACTGGAGGCTTAAAGTTAGTACAATTATTTAAATAGAATTTCTATTTGGTTTACCTGATACTTGTCGAGGAGAAAGAGATCTGCTTTTGATGGATTCCACACCAGGCGACCTAATGTCAGCAGGTGACCTAATTGAAGGTGGAGATCTAATTTGCTTTGGTGATTTATTTTTCAACTCGGGTGAGCTTGAATGAGAATCTGGTGTTCTACTCCTACTCTTAATAGAAGGAGGATTAGCTGATTTTGTAGTTTTCACATCTGGTTCAGGAGAAGGTGGCCTGCTGCCAGCAGAACTCTGGGAGGAAGCAGAGTGTTCTCTGCTGCTATGAGAGGAAGATCTAGATGAAGATCTTGATTTGTATGAACCACCAGATTTCTTACTGGAACGACTGTTTCTTCCCTTAGCTTCACTCTCACTCCCAGAGGAACCATCTCGGGAGTCTTCAGATTCCATTGAAGCTAGGAAAATAAAATTACATTAGGATTGTGGTAAATTTTAAATTGATCCAATCTCACTGGGAAAAAAGTTCTAAACACTTCTGCATTAGGTAATTTTTTTGAGACCGTTGTTACTTCAGTCTTACCTTCGGGCTGCCGTAAAATCCTTCATTACCATAAAGGCACTGGGATATAACATTTTCCTTCTTGGATAAATACATTTTTATTCCAAACTACTAACTTAATTGACTTAAACCCGGACTTTTACTTCGAGACTCACAACACAAACTACTAAAAGTCTTTCGCGATAATATACTTGATACGAACTATTGAAATATTAACCATATACTGGCTTCAACTTAACTGTAATTATACATAACACAATCTTGGGTAGGAAGAACTATTATTGCCACTTTTTACTTTCACGGACTTGATTCTTACCTTATTTACTTTGTAATACTCCTGCTGAACACAGTTTTCTCTTGGTTTAGTATTAAATATCATAAAATATAATAATTGGTTTTCAGGTTTGCAATGGACGAAGTTTAGAGAAAAAAGACATGGCGTTGTCGCCACTGTCGTCACGTTGTCAAATTAAATGACAACTAGACATTTGAAAAATATATTATCAATAAAGAATATTGTAATTTACAAGAAACTAATCAAATTAAACAAAAAAAATAAAATGAACTAGATAAAATTCCACAGATGATCATAATTTGGATGATCTAACATTTAATTTTGCTTTAATAATTGTATAAATTATGCGTTTTTCATGAAACATTTGACAATGTGGCAACAGTGGTTCGGTTCCACCATGTGCTCTGTTGCCACGTTTAATACCAGATTATTTATTTTGAAATTTTTAACACTCAATTTTTTAAAGAAAGCCGATCTAAAAATATTTTTATTATCGGACTTGTCTTGTATTAATATTTCGTAATTATCGTTATCAGTAATGCAATAGGTATATAATGTTTATTATTAAAATTCGAAGATTACATCAATCTAACATCTTACCTCACAAGTGATGTATTTCATCCGGTCGTTTGGCCTTAGGCCTTAAAGGCATTTCGGCAGAGTTACTATTAATATAAGTAATTTATGATCCATTATTACATTACATTTCGACAAATAATCTTTTTTGAATAACCCTATATTTTATCTAATGCTTGTCCAGTACCTATAGGTACAAACTTCTGAAGAAATCAGTCTCGTTTTGTAAGCCATATCCTTTATAGAATAATTATTCTATGTAGAGCGAGTACACAAGATCGGAGTATTCCTTACTTTGGTCTGTTGTAATGTGAAGGTATTTCCTTGAGCCAGCCCTCTTTATATACCTATATTTGGAGAGTTAATTTACGAAATATTGCGCTAGAGCAGCTCTGCCTACAGCTGCCAAAGAACCTGATATAAAGTAAAAAGCTATTATTGAATATTTATATGTTCAAGATTTAATATATTTTACTCCAGAAATTTTACGACCAATTTTTAGACTACAAATTATAATAAAGGATCAGAATAAAGAAAATGCTTTTAAGTTTGGCATCCTTGCGTTTATGTGCCGAACAGTCATTCGTGTACTCTTGACGTCATTCATAAATACTTGTTGCCTTGAGCAAGAGAAGGATAAAAATAGTAAAGAAAAAGAAGGATATCGTAGTGAGTGCTTGTAGATTTTAAAACAAGTGAGGTCTGTTCCGGTCTTTCAAAGATTTATTAAAATGGATGCACCTTTGAGGGAACAAGTGATGATAAATCAATTTGTTGTAGCAGCAGGCTGTGCACATGAACAAGCTAAACAAATTTTACAATCGGCACATTGGCAATTTGAGGTAAATATTGTTTTCGTAAACAAATACTATTGGGAGAAATAAAATGGCGGATGTTATGTGTTTAATAACACCCTCCCCCCTTACCTCGTCGTTCCGTCTGTGATCGCAGCCCGTGGCCGTTTATTGACTGTTTTACTTTTCAAGGTCATGATGTGCTAGAATATAAACATTGGGTTATTATGTATTTGTTTTGAGTTTTTGACGTATATGTAGGATTTTGACTGTCTAGTATCTAATAGAAGACCGAAAATATTAATATGCTTAGGTTGGAAGGAGATTAATGTAATGCTTCATTATTTTTGTTTGGGTGTCTCTAGGAATAAACAGTTATTTATGTAGGTAGGGATGTAGGTAAATGAACTTATGAATGATGTAACGACAAACTTCCCCAATATTTAAAAAAATTTCAACACCCTATAGATTAAAGTGTAGTAGGTAACTGTTTATCGACTTTTTTTTATTTTATTTTTATTCTGTATATACTGTGAACAGATCTATAATATGCTGTCATTGTGAACCCCGAATATTTTGAATACGAGCCGCCACTGGTACCTACCTATAGAGGACGGTGTTCTGATATGATTTAAGAATATTTTATTGCCTTTAGCCATTCCATTTTTTTTTTCATCTCTGGAGCTGCCCTTGGTAACCTCAAGAATACTCAAGATTCAATTGAAGGGCTTATTGTAAAAACCTGATATACATAAAGACATTTTTACTTCAGGACAATAAAAAATAAAGTTATAAAAGCTTGAACCAAATGGAATTTTTTCAACAAATACTATAGCCAAAAAATCAAGTGATTGCAGTTGTAGTAGTTATTTTAACCTTTGATTGCATGTTTCTTAATAAATTAATGTTTTGGCTTATCATGTTATTCCAATAACATATTTAATTGCCTAAGGACTCTATTAGGAATATTGAAAGAAATCATTTCTAAGAGTTTCGGGCATATGACTAGACCTTTTAATAATCTATAGATAAAATTCAAATCTGATATGTCTCCTGTACTTAAGTCGGCTCATATTCATTTCATTTAAAATCCTAGTATAATTGTGATCCGTTACCCACATATTTAATTTGAAGGTACATTATCTTAGAAATTTATTTTGTATTCTTTCCACTGCCAGACAGTGAATATGATATTGTGGCGACTAAATCTAATAGGCACAGTTTGTAGCTGAAGAATCAGTTCGCTCACTCTGCCTCAGCACTTTTGATCTCAATGTTCCAGTTTATACATTGTGTAACTCAGATTTGTATCCCTTGCACATACAGTGGATTTTTACGAATAGGAGAACATACTTTAATAATTAAAATAATGAGGTGAAAGTTATGTGATTGCAAAACACAGAATACATTATAGATAGGTATTCAGGTATTCTGTGTTACGAATATTGTCCTTTTTCTGAAACTTCGAAGGTTATATGTTAACCACCTATATTCAAAGAGCAGTCTTCTGCTCATCCTGATTTTGTATCCCTGTAGTGGATGTTATTTTGAAACATCCAATTGGTCGGAGTGAGCTAACTGATTCTTTAGCTAAAAACTGTGTAATAGGTAAATTGTAGTTTGTACAACAGTGAATATGAGTGTAATAGGGACAATCCAATTGAGTTGTACAATTTAATATATACATAATACTTCTTTACTAAAACAAATGCATACATAAATTTGCACCAGAGAGGCAAAGGTTAGCTATACAGCTACTCTTAACCCTTAACCTTCCTAGTTGACATAATAGCATACTATTTACATTATATTTACATAGTAATAACATAATTATCTGTAATCTAATAGTATTAATAACAAATAGACACGAAAAAAATAAAAACAGAATAATATACATATAAATAATATAAATAATTACAAAGAACAAGAATTGAAATATAGAAAAAACAATATATACTGGGAAATCCAAACAAAAACAAGTTATTGCTTACCCAAAAAATACTTTAAATCTCAGGGCTAAAGATATGCAATGATGGGTTCCAATTTAGAAAATAAAACTGATTATATATTTTAACTGCATTTATTTATTTATTTTCATTATAAAATTCACATTCACATTTTTTCATGTTAAATTAAAATATAAGTAAACTGTAGTGTTAGAAGTTAAAAGAATTAACTTCAAAATTATTGTTTTAAAATTATTTATCACCCTGTATACTATAACACCCTGTAAAGCTACTTCACAAAACACGTGATAACATGGTTTTATAATGTTTTATTAAATATCTCGTAAACAATGTTTAAAATGTAATTAATTAAGGAACAAAATAAAGAATGTCTTTTACGGCTTAATGCCTATCACTTCTTAGCGTTCGGCTGGTGAAAAGTCAAGTCCCCGCTCTCCTGGTCCTGGACACTGCAACGGGCAGACGTGGTACCGTCGATCCCAGTGGCGGCGATATCCTAATTCGCTGACTCTAACAGACACTGCAACGGGCAGACGTGGTACCGTCGACCCCAGTGGTGGCGATATCCTACTTCGCTGACTCTATCTAACAGTAGGATAATTTCGTTTCCATCAACTGGATAAAGAAACATAGATTGCTTTAGTTGCGGGGAGGTTAATTATACATTTAAAGGAGCATCATGGATTTTATCTGCCATTTTCTGACCTATATTGATGCAATAGTCATTACAATAGTTTGCCATTTCATTTTCGCTTGAAAAGGATCTCCATTTTCTTAGACACTTTTTAGACTTTTTATTTCCATTGACTATATTAAACAACTTTTTCATATTGACGATATTGAAAAGTATGTAAATTATTGTCTTTTTTTTAGTCAGTATAGTTTGTTTTGCTTCTTATCAGTTCAGTGTGGAATTTCAATGTTGAGCACTCACAAACTGTTGCTTTATGATCAGTGGCGTAGTTAGAATTGTATTTTCCATTTGAATAGTCACAATTTTTACAAAAAAAATTATTTCTGGGGCACATATTCTCCTCATGTTCCTCTACACATATTGGACATACCATTTTATTTTTGCATTCATTTTTACTTTCCTATCTGTATACAGATATAAGGAAAGTATAGGAATCATGATTTTTTTCGACCTCGAGTTTTCGACGGATTTTTACGTTTTGAGGTCCCCTGAATCCGTTTTGACTATTTTCGCGATGATGTGTGTGTGTGTGTCTGTGTCTGTGTCTGTGTCTGTGTCTGTGTCTGTGTCTGTGTCTGTGTCTGTGTCTGTGTCTGTGTCTGTGTCTGTGTCCGTGTCCGTGTCCGTGTCCGTGTCCGTGTCCGTGTCCGTGTCCGTGTCCGTGTCCGTGTCCGTGTCTGTGTCTGTGTCGTGTCTGTGTCTGTGTCTTTGTCTGCGTCTGTGGGTGTGCGTGTGGGTGTGTGTGTGTGTGTCTGTAGGTCGCATAACTCATGAACCGATACACAGAAAAACACCAAATTTTAAACTTAAGCTTTATTCCAGCGTCTTATGAACTGATTAGATTTTGGGCAGGGTCGGAACATTTGGGGGGGTACTTTATGGGTGGTCATTTTTATATTTTATGAAATATATCTGTTATTTACGTTTGGAGAAGAAAATTTTTCAAATAAAAGTTACTTCTAATATAATTATCTATAATTTTTGTTTCATACAAAATTTTCCTAAAATGGTCCGTATTCGAGAAATTTGACAAAATGTAAAAAAAAGATTTTTTTATAAAAATTGTTCAAATAAAAGTTGTTTGTAATATAATTCTCTATAATTTTTATTCTATACATAATTTCTCTAAAATGGA